GAGGAGGAGGAGGAGGAGGAGGAGGAGGAGGAGGAGGAGGAGGAGGAGGAGGAAGAAGAAGAAGAAGAAGAAGAAGAAGAAGAAGAAGAAGAAGAAGAAGAAGAAGAAGAAGAAGAAGAGGAGGGGGAGGAGGAGGAGGAGGAGGAGGAGGAGGAGGAGGAGGAGGAGGAGGAGGAGGAGGAGGAGGAGGAAGAAGAAGAAGAAGAAGAAGAAGAAGAAGAAGAAGAAGAAGAAGAAGAAGAAGAAGAAGAAGAAGAAGAAGAAGAAGAAGAAGAAGAAGAAGAACAACAACAACAACAACAACAACAACAACAACAACAACAACAACAACAACAACAATAACAACAAGAAAAAGAGGAACAAGAAGAAGAACAAGAAGAACAAGAACAAGAAGAAGGCAGAGGAGGTGGAGAAGGAAAAGGGGGAGAAAGAGAACGACGAAATCAGCAGTGAACTCGCCGTCAACCTCCTTCAACCACCAACAAAGACTCACCTTCTACTACTGTGTCGACTGTTACTGTTATAATGTGTAAATGACAGCCTCTTCCTTCCCACTGATGTTGCCTTTTTCCTCGCTCACTTCTTCCCGTGTTCTTTCTGTTCTGACCTAGATTGTCTACGATGTTGCATTTTGTTATATATATATATATATATATATATATATATATATCCTCAAGGCTACACTAACAGTACTGTTACAGTGATTCATTCGTGTTTCACTGCTGCCGTCACTCAAGGCAGCCCTCTCTGTATGTAGATTGTCATTATTTTTTTCTTATAAGTAGTTTGGGTTTTTTTGTCTGACCCACTGAACGTACTGGACAGTATGGTCGACGGCCCGTCGCTCTTTTATCTTAATCCCCTTATCTCCCGTTTATCTAAACCCTGTCTTATGACAATGTTGAAAAACGAAAAAGCAAACATATTTGTGTTGATTGTAGTCCTAGATCACGTTTTCGGCACACGTTAAGGAATAAGTTTGCCTCATTTAACTATCTATACATGTGTTGTTTCTGTACAGAGAACGTGTGTGTGTGTACCGTCTGGGCAAGACCGACGTCTGTGGTGTAGCGGCTTGGCGTTTCTTGAATTTGTCTCATGACAAAGATCATGTCTACAGTGCTTCTCCCTGGCCTAAAGCCACACTGAACCTCTGGTAGGATCTTTTCTGAGATGGTTAATAATAGTCTGTTGAGGATAACCCTTACATATATTTTCCTTTAAAAGACAAAGAGAGTTTTCACTATAACCAAACAAATGTACGCACTAATAAAACTAAACTTCTCCTAAACGTAGGGAAATGCCCACTTTTTGTGTAAGTCTAGAATTCTGGAGCCCCCCCCCCCCCCCCCTTTCCACCCCCGAAATCTGGGTTAGCCCGTTTGTTAAAAGTGACCATTTTAAAAAACTGATCAGATGGAAGAAGGGAAAACACCAGGATAATACATGTGCATGTGCATGAATAAGATGTTTTAGAGTAGAGCATCCAAGCGGTGAACCATGATCACCGATGTCTGTTTCAGATCTTGCCCTTTATGACAATAATGCTCGCGTTCTTTCTGCTGGGAAGTTATATCCCTCTCAGGCCAATGTGACTTTGACAGGCATGGTCGAAACCAGTTTCCTAAATAGTCAAAATTATTTCAAAGGGAATGTAAATAAATTACTACTACTACTACTACTACTACTACTACTACTACTACTACTACTACTACTACTACTACTACTACTACTACTACTACTACTACTACTATTAAAGATCTCTAGGGGCTCTCGTGGCCTAGAGGTTAAGGTGTTGGCCTCTCATTCAAAGGCCCCGGGCTCGTATCCGGGTAGCGACCGAAAAATTTTCTTCCCTACAATTGTCTCCTTTCGCCTCCTTTCCTGCTCTCTAGCAATGTTCTGTTGACTGCTTTCATTTTTACTTTCTGCCCCCACCCCCTCACCTCCTTTGCCCCC